TTTGGTCCAAGGATTGGGCCAGATACACAAAAAAAAATTAAAAATTAAAGTAAAAGGCTCAAATTTGGGCCAAGGGGAGCTTGGGGGCAGCTCGGAATGATGAGGACCATAAATCTCAGCCAAATCCAAGGCTGAGATTGGAGCCGCCACTTGGAAAAATGCAACGGCCTACCCAAAAGAGRCCTAGATCAGGAAAAAGACGAAAAATGGGCCTTTAGGCCCTCAAAATTCAGTAAAGGCTGCATTTTGGGAAGTGGTACCCCAAAAGGCATCTCTTTTTGAAGTAAAAAGAGGCCGGGGTAGACCAAGGGGTAGTCCGAGAAGGTACTGGCCTCTCAGGCTGCATGTACCTGGCCAAAATGAGGCCCAGGTACCTCCAGATAGGCCAAAACCGGAAATTTGGCCTTGGGGGCACCTCGGTCCACCTAGAGGCACTTGGAGAGGCCTAAGGGTTGGGCGGTGCACCAGTTTCAGCCTACATAAGCTGGAGGTGTAGGCCGCCACTCCCACTTGAGCATGAGAGGAACCCATGCTGCCAAAATGAGTCCGTGAGTGAGTACTAGTGAGATAGAGGAAGGAAGTGAGAGTCGGAGCTAGCCTGGAGCTTGGCTATGGTGATGAGACTAAGGGAGAAGGCCTAGAGGCTAGGAGGAAGCAAGGAGAGTGGTCCGCCATAGCCCTCAGGCTGTGAGGTAGGAGGAGAGGCTGAAAGGGGTCCCCTTAGCCCTTCTAGAGGGAAGGACTCCATAGCCTTAGAGGTAGGAGCCTGCCATAACTTGAGAGGAGGAGTGAGAGGAGGAGGAGAGAATTTGGGAGGTGGGGAAGCCATACTCAAGGAGCTAGAACCAAGCTTTGGACTACATTGCCTAGGGACCAACAAGAGGAGAGTGGGAAGGGAGGAAGTTTCCCCTCCTTCTTCCTCCTTTCTTCCTCTTCTTCTTCTTCTTCTTCTTCCTCTCCTCCCTCTCCTTCTTCCTCTTCCCCCTCTTCTTCTTCCTCCTCTTCTTCTTCTTCTTCCTCCTCCTCCTCCTCCTCCACTTCTTCCTCTCCCCCTTCCTCATCTTCTTCCTCCCTCCAAAACTGTGATTTTTATTGATCTTGATGCTTGTGTAAGTTGCGATTCATCCTAGGATACTTCGGAGATCATTCCCCTAGTGTAGATGTCATCAAACTTGTCAATTTGCTGATTTGGATGCCTATGTGTGTTGCGCTTCATCCCAGGATACTTCGGAGATCATTCYCCTAGTGTAGATGTTGTCAAACTTGTCATTTTGTTGATTTGGATGCCTATGTGTGTTGCGCTTCATCTTG